AAAACGAAAAGAGATAGACTAATGAAATTTTATGGAAGCATTACTGTTATGAAAACACACTTTCAGGTAATTATTTTACTTTTTTAAAATGAGTGGAAGGGGTTGAAATAAACTACCCCTATCATTCTTGTTAACGAAATTTAAAGAAAGATCTTATCAAACACATGCAGATGCTTTAATTTGGATAGTTTAGTTTGTTTAGAAACTTTTTTACCTCTTGTGTTTTTTTGATAAAACTGACCGATTGGAAATTAAAAAATAAAATGTAAAGCATTACATGTCAGGACAAAAAACATTTTTAGATTAAGAATCTAGTGATAATAACGATAATAATAATCATCTAGATAATAACGTATTGCAGTAGAGTAATGTCAAATAAAATAATATTAGGAACATCCTAAAAAGTAACAGCGGCCGACTAGATTTTTTCTAAAAAAATTACAGCAGCCCACTAGATTATTTATCAGAAAATGTTTTTGTCCTGACATGTAATGCTTTACATTTTATTTTTTAATTTCAAATCGGTGAGTTTTATCAAAAAAATACAAGAGATAAAAAAGTTTCTAAACAAACTAAACTATCCAAATTAATTTTTTTGCATGTGTTTGATAAGATTTTTCTTTAAATTTCGTTAACAAGAATGATAGGGGTAGTTTATTTCAACCCCTTCCACTCATTTTAAAAAAGTGAAAACATTACCAGAAAGTGTGTTTTCATAACACTAATGCTCCCATAAAATTTTATTAGTCTATCTCTTTTCGTTGTCAAGATAAAAAATAAAAACATTATTTTTCCGCCATCTTTGTACCGCAATACCTCCCTAATGGTTGACTTTTGACCCAACGTTTATGAAGCAAACTACCCTTTATTTTGAGCAAGGAATCACCCCCTGAAGTTTTTCGCATTTGTTTTGAAACACCCTGTATATATCTTCATTATCCCAATGAAAATTAATGAGTCTATTAACAATAAATAAGGTCAAAAATATGTCGTAGTAGGTATATCATATCAAATAAATAAAAAAAAAATTCTGCTATTTACCATTTTACTTTTGCCCTGATAATATAATTATTACTATAATTGGTAATAGGTATGTATTATCATCAAAAGATTTTACAGTTTATGCACATCTTCTTATTCGTCACTTTTTAAGTGGTGAAATCCTGAGCGAAGTGGTGAGTTTTTTATAGGTATTTATCTGCTGAAACAACAAAATATTTAATGGACAGAAACTTTAAGGTCCATTTGGTATTAAATCTTTATGATGATTCAGGGTGTAAATAACTGACTGCGCAAGATATAATTCCATTATGAAAATATGGAGATTTTTTCAAAAAGTTTGAGTAGATTATTATACAGATCATAATTAGCCATTATATTAAAAAAATCCATACCGGTAAATAAATGTCACATATCGAGCTTGGTGACCGTTATAAGAATAAAAATTGGCGCCGGGAGGCACGTATAGCCGCCCATACTAAAATATGTTAATAAAAAGTTGGTAGGCAGTTTTTTTAGTTTCAAAGTAAAGGAATTTTTCCAATTTTTTTTTATTTCAAAAACTGCGACTTTGACTGATTTTGATGTTATTACAAATTTTGTTGCAAATATTATTCCTAATCTTAAATTGAAAACCGCGTTTCGCTAGCTACTGTAATTTTGGAGTTACGATTTTTTAAAATTTTTAACCCCCTCCCATACCCCCTTACCAACCCCCCACCCCCACCAAAAACTAATGGTCAGATTCTCGGGTGCCACAGTATTTTTGAGCCAAATTTGGTTAAAATCGGTTTAGCGGTTTTTGAGTTATCGTGTTACAGACAGACGGACAGACAGACACCATGAAAATATTTTGTATTTAGGTCATTTATGATCCAAATAACTAATTTTGAGTGAAATTAAAAAACTTTTTTTTGCCGATCTTAATAGCCTACCATAATACCTGTTGGTATGGTCGGCTAAACATTTTATTTATTAATTTTTATTTAAAATTTTCATTTTATGTAAAACGAAATAGAAAAACGACTAACCAAGTTACAAAATTTGCGTTACAATTTTCCATTGTTGTCAAAACGAATTATACTAATAACCTAACAGTACGCAAATGTTCCTAATCCCAATCCCAATCCTGTTTGATCCCCAGCAGGAATGTAAAGTAAGCGCATTAGCCCATTTATCGTACAAGATCGGGCGTTCTCGAATTTGCAAAGCGAATTATTATTTATAGACCCAGTTTAACAATCTCTGAACGGTTATTTGAAGTATTGGACTATTAACATACCAAACTTCATTTTAGACTTATAGCTATCATTAATCTAACATGAGTCCATGCTGGAGAACGTAAATAGCATCTTGCGAATAATATTTCGAATGATTTTAACAATATACAGGGTGAGTCTCAAATAAGTGGAAATATTTTATAGGTAGCCATATTTCGACCCCAGAAACACGATTATTAGGTTTTTTTCAAGAAGAATTTTTTGGATTTTTTTTTGTTTTCAGTTAAAAAACATAATTTATTGATAATATGGCAACATAGGTAGTAGATTACAAGAAAGAAAACCCAAAAAAGATCCAGTGGTTTTGAAAATTTAAGCAAAAAAAAATTTTTTCGAAAATCTTCAAAGTAAAAATGTTAGTTTTTAGGGCCTGATTGTGCAAAGGATGTTGTTTTGTTAATTGACACATTCAAACTGTCCTGATGATGGGAATAAAATTCTCGAGAGCTTTTATTTTTCTTAATCTCTTCTTTACAGCAACAATTTTCTGTGATTTTTCTAAGGCGTTCGATTGTGTAAATCATAAGATCCTAATTAATAAACTGCAGCACTATGGGTTCAGGGGATCATCTCTCGAATGGTTTAAGTCGTATCTGAGCAACAGAAGTCAACTTGTGAGGGTGGATACCACGTTGTCTTCTAGCAAGCCGATAGAATGTGGAGTACCACAAGGCTCAGTACTAGGCCCTAAATTTGTTTCTTCTTTTTATTAACGACATTGCTAACATAAACATCAGTGGCAAAATATGTCTTTGCGGACGACACTAGCTTCACTTTGGAGCAACAAGGACATCGCGGCACTTCATAGGATTATATCAAATGACTTAATCACCATTAAATCTTGGTGCGATTCGAACCTCCTGAGTCTCAACATTTCGAAAACTAAGGCTTTGTCGTATAAAAACCTCGTTGCAGCCTTTTATATTTGAAAAATTAGTACACATGTATTTAGTAAAGGATAGCTTTTACAATTTTGTTAATGTTGAAATATTATTAACCCACCAATAAAAAATATTTCTTGAAAATGTCACAAGGATTGTATTTGACGTCGTAAAATCCGTAAAATTCTTAGGGGCTTGTTGGGGACAATTCTCTGAAATGGGACATACATATCGAAGCTTTGTCGAAAAATTGAGCTCTGCCTGTTTTGCATTAAGGTCTGTTTCTAAGGAGCTTAACTTGTCAGTGATTCTAGAACTGTTTATTATGCACTTTTTTTTTACCACCTCAGGTATGCCCTTCCATTCTGGGGTACGTGTTGTGCGGCTCATTTTTTCCCAAATTTTCAAGCTTCCAGAAGAGAGCTGTTCGATATTCACTGGGACTAAACAGCAGAACTCATTGCCGGGACTTTTTAGAGAATTGAAAATATTGACTCTTCCTTCCTTATTTATATTTGAATCCGTTTGCCTAATACGTAAACATGTATCAGCTTCTCAAGAAAGGCCATCTCACACTTATCCACTCAGGAACGCGGAGCAAGATCTTTATCTACCTACCCCACGCTCAGAGTTAGTTAAAATTTCAAAATTATACTAATAATCCCAACAGTACGTAAATGTTCCTAATCCCAATCCCAATCCTGTTTGATCCCCAGCAGGAATGTAAAGTAAGCGCATTAGCCCATTTATCGTACAAGACCGGGCGTTTTTTTTCATTTCGCAAAGCATTGAACTCTTTATTTACTAGACAAAGCTTTCTACGCCGTAAATGAATTATATTTGAATTGAAAATCGAACTTGATCTTGAAAACACTGGTCTAATGTTTCTAACATATTTACTAATGAGATCGAAATTAATTTATTTAGAGGTCATTGATATTTTGCTATAAACTGGCTAAATATTTTTGAATATTATTTTATAGGTTTTTTTATTCTTTGACATTGTAAACATTTATATTATGTTTATTTTAACAATAAGACTGACAATATTATTTGTATAATGTTTTGTATTATCTTTTGTTTGTTTGTTTGTGTACCTTGTTTTTTTTTACTTTGTTTGTTAGTTTACCTTTGTCCACAAATTGAAAAATTTTTTGACAATAAAGGCATTTATTTATTTATTTATTTATTTATTTAACTTAGTTACCACTAAACCTGTTGTTTTTTTAAAATAATTAATGTAATAGTTTTTGTCTAAAATTGAATACAGTATCAAATTTTATTTAAAATTATACTAAATGTATCCTTAAAAAAATAAATGTTTAACATTCAGCGTATAAAAACTAAAACATACCTTTTAGCATGCCTACATCATTAATTATTTATTTAGTTAACGTTAATTATTTAGATCATTTTGGACATTAATTAAATGTTTTTGTTTTTGTACAGATACCAAACATCTTTTTGCTACTGCGGTAATTATAAACGTTTAAATTTAATTAATATAATTAACATACAAAAAAGAGCAATTTGCTACAATAATTCAGGAAATAATTTTCAGTTCAGAGATGATAAGTTTTTTTGACATTTTGTTTCAAAATTACTGCTTTATTAAAATTATTTTTTACTATATTGTATTTGGTTCAAATGAATTTTATTTATTCATATTGTATATATGTAGCGAATCGTATATTTAAGTTTCTACAAAAAGTTCTAGGCAGAAACAATAAATATTTTTCTAAAAAAATATACCTACTATATTTTTGACCTTAATTATTGTTTATCAACACATAAAACTCCCCACAAATAACATTTAGAAACATAAAATTACAATAAATACCTTCCGTCTCCGAGCAGGCGGTACTATAAAGTATGTGGTGACGCAGTGATCTCGTAAATACTGATTTCTGGAAGCTCCGTTACCTGGTTCCACGTCGTACTCTCCTCCCAGATAATCCAAAGTTGCTTGAGTTATGTGTACTCTCCTGGAAAGAGATAATTTAACCATCATTTATTATTATGGGAGACGTATCGATACACAACATATAATTTTTGTAAATAGTTGTTGAATAGTAAATTTACTGATCAAAATAAAGCTTGATTTTCATGCATCCGTTATGCGATGATACGATGATACGATATTAATTTTATTGGTTGAATTTCAAGACTTCGATTGGTTAGAAACCTACACAGTTTTTAAATTTATTGCATTTTTATGCCTCCGTTCATCATTCATAACGATTTTGCTGTTTTACTTATAGTCTAAAAGCTAGCATCGTTTTCGAGAGAGAATTTTAAGAAAGCTGGTTCTTATACAGGGTGTTTCAAAACAAATGCGAAAAACTTCAGGGAGTGATTCCTTGTTCAAAATAAAGGGTAGTTTGCTTTATAAACGTTGGGTCAAAAGTCAACCATTAGTCAACCATTATCGCGATACAAAGATGGCGGAAAAATAATGTTTTTATGTTTTATCTTGAAAACGAAAAGCGATAGACTAATGAGATTTTCTGAAAGCATTACTGTTATGAAAACACACTTTCTGGTAATTTTCTCACTTTTTTGAAATAAGTGGAAGGGGTTGAAATAAACTACCCCTATCATTCTTGTTAACGAAATTTAAAGAGAAATCTATTAAACACATGCAAAAAAAATAATTTGGATAGTTTTGTTTCTTTAGAAACATTTTTATCTCTTATGTTTTTTTGATAAAACTCACCGATTTGAAATTAAAAAATAAAATGTAAGCATTACATGTCAGGACAAAAAACATTTTTAGATAAAGAATCTAGTGGGCTGCTGTAATTTTTTTAGGAAAAAATCTAGTCGGCCGCTGTTACTTTTTAGGATGTTCCTAATATTATTTTATTTGACATTACTCTACTGCAATACGTTATTATCTAGATGATTATTATTATCGTTATTATCACTAGATTCTTAATCTAAAAATGTTTTTTCATAACTTATTATTATATTAATTTCTAATTCAAATCCACATTTATTTAGAATAATTTATTAACGAACACAATTAAGTATGTTTACATTTTATTTTTTAATTTCAAATAGTGAGTTTTATCAAAGAAAATAAGAGATAAAAAGTTTATAAACAAACTAAACTATCCAAATTAAAGCATTTGCATGTGTTTGATAAGATTTTTCTTTAAATTTCGTTAACAAGAATGATAGGGGTAGTTTATTTCAACCCCTTCCACTCATTTTAAAAAAGTGAAAAAATTACCAGAAAGTGTGTTTTCATAACAGTAATGCTTCCATAAAATTTCATTAGTCTATCTCGTTTTGTTTTCAAGATAAAAAATAAAAACATTATTTTCCGCCATCTTTGTACCGCGATATCTCCCTAATGGTTGACTTTTGACCAAACATTTATGAAGCAAACTACCCATTATTTTGAACAAGGAATCACCCCCTGAAGGTTTTCGCATTTGTTTTGAAACACCCTGTATATACAGAGTGGTCGGAAATGTATTCCGGAAACTTCGGCAGCATATTCTGCAGATAAAAATAAGTAAAAAAGTTCGTATAAATGTATGTCCTAAAATGCTTGGTTTCGGAGATACAGGGTGTAGAAGTTTCATTTTTATTTCGATTTTTTCCAAATAATTTCTGAAGTAACGTAAATATTTTTATGAAAATTGGTATCTAGGTGTTTTTTGACATGAGAAATGTGATTTTGATGTCAATATGACTCTTACTAGTAGAGGGCGCCACCTACATATTTTTTAACTGGTTTGAAGAGTAATAACTTTTGGTCCGTACCTGTATAAAACTACTGAGTAAAAAAATATACATTTACGACGTTTTTTACGTGAAAAAGACCTCTTGGTAAAAATCGCTACGAGTAATGGTTTTCGAGATATTTGGAATCGAAATTATCAATACCTGTCATCATCGACATAAATTAAACATGTTGACTAAATAATTATTAGACTGAAATCATAAATTTGAAATGTTTTTGTGCCAAAATTTCAACAGAAACTGTTTTATCATCATTTTATGCAGAAAAATTTATGATTAATTTAAAAAAATAAAAATTTTCAAAATTTATTATTTCAGTGAAATAAGTATCTACTTAACGTGTTTATTTTTCATCAATAATGACATGTATTGACTATTTTCATTCTAAATATCTTAAGAACGGTTGCTCTTAGCGATTTTTACAAAGAGATATTTTTTACGTAGAAAGTGTTGAAAATGTATATTTTTTCGCTCGATAGTTTTATACAGGTACGGACAAAAAGTTATTACGCTTCAAAACAGTTAACACATATGTAGGTGGCGCCCTCTACTAGTAGGAATGATATTTACATCAATCAAATTTCTCATGCCAAAAAACACCCAGACACCAATTTTCATCCAATTATTGACGTTACTTCAGAAATTATTTAGAAAAAATCGAAATAAAAATGAAACTTCTACACCCTGTATCTCCGAAACCAAGCATTTTAGGACATACATTTATACGAACTTTTTTACTTATTTTTATCTGCAGAATATGCTGCCGAAGTTTCCGGAATACAATTCGGACCACCTTGTATATATAATATATCTTTTGCTATGCTCTCCTGAACAGAGTGCGGACCGTCTGGCTGCTGGTAGACGTTGAGTTCACTACTACACATCATATCTGTATTCAACATCTGTTCACTACTGCGCATCACAAATTCGACCTGTATTTCAGTAACTAAGGCAAGACAAACATATGTGTAGCATATTTAGTTTCATAAAAAAGTATCAAAGTAATGTGAAAATCGCATCATTGTATCTTCCTATTCTTCCTCTCTACTCATAAACGACAAATCCTATAAACCAGACGAAAATTGAATACCGTGTACAGATGTGATGCGCAGTAGTGAACCGAGTAGTTTACCGGCAGCCCTACGGCCCGCACTTTGGTCAGGAGAGCACAGGAGAGCATAGCAAAAGATATATTAATAAGAACCAGCTTTCTTAAAATTCTCGTTTTCCTGATGTTGTTCTTGTACTATTATATTTTTATTAAGGTTGAAAATGTATTATTTAATCTATAATTTTAATTAATAAACATTACATTTGACAATATTTAAGTTGTTTTTATTTTTTAAAGGAATACACTTAAGTGGCACCAGTAAACCGGGCGCGTTTTTTTATAGTGCTTAAGAGTTATACTCTACTTCTTCTAACTATCTCAATCACTCACCCTGGTTCACCTCCGGCTTCCATATTATTGGCCAGCGTGACATCGTTCGACCAGACGTCGTACTGCCACTTGCGGAGTCCTAGTACCCCGCACAGCACCCGCCCCGAATGGATGCCCACGCGCATGTTGAGCTGGACATCGGTGGCCTCGACCACGCTTGCTATAGCGTCGATCATGTCCAGGCCCATCTCTACGGTGCAGTGGGCGTGGTCGGAACGAGGCTCGGGCAGGCCCGAGACGCAGTAGTAGCAGTCGCCGAGGATCTTGATGCGCAGACAGTGGTTGTCCTGGAAAATAAAGAAAGACTGGATTGAGACTTGTTTTAGATGTTGAAAGTTTTGACAAATAAATTAAATATAAAGAAAGGAAGGCTATGCTGAGGTTTTTTTACCGTTCTGGAATGTTTCGGTACCTAGATCGGCTTTGCCTTAAATAACCTACTTTAGATTCACAAACCTAATATATTAACTACTTAGAATTCCTAGTATACCGACGGCTAAAAGTTATATTATAATATAGAGATATTATAGAGAGACTAGTGTTATTATTACCAATGCCTGATACAAAAGCTGTTGTAGAATTTGGCCTCAGATGTTCTGGTGACAATAAAAATCTATCAACTACCAGATTCAGATTCAAAACTTAAGTCTGAGACATAGTTCAAAAGGTTCCTATTGACAATTCTTCGTATTGAAGAAATAAAACCGCACTTGGTTTTCTATTATCTTTTGAAATAGATCAAACACCTCTATTACCACACATTGTCAGTGAGACTAAGACCCTGGTCGATGACGACGACTGCAGAATCTACGCTTTTTCAACTATGGTTAAGAACAAGCTCGATATTGTTCTGCTAGATAGAAGGTCGCGCATAATTTTAATCATTGCGTTTTCTGATCGGGTAGAGACAGCATAGTGGTAAAAACAAGATAAATGAAGTAAGTACATCTTGCTGATTCGCGAGTTATTTATTTCTTTATTTCTAAAAATTTCTAAAATTTCTTTCTTTTAATCTTCGGAATCAACCACCCCTCAACTCCCTTCTTTTTATTTATTAGTATCAACTGCGCTGTTTTCTATCTTGTGCTTAGCGAGTTACACATGCCATGGAAGGACGGACGGAATCTATACCTTTTAGGAATTTTAGGGCTTGTAAACATGTGTATTTCTAAGCCGTAGGCTGTGTCTCGCTAGCTCGTGAGTTCGAATTTGAATTCCCTTGAATTTTTACTCCCAGCGCGCGTAAAGAAGTTTCACTTCAAAAATGAGTTCACCCAAGATATAGTCATTGTACTATCAACTTTATTTATAAATCTTACGTTAATCTTCTCTCTTCAAATATTAGATACCAAATTAATTAAAATTGCTTGTTATTATGCAAATAAGTATTAAAAATTGCAACTGTAATCGTCTGCATAATTATATGACCCAGTCTAGTGTAAAACGGTTTAATAATAAACCATAACTAAGATCAAGTTTACGACAATAGAAAAAAGGAACATTAGCAACAATTAATCTTTAGTTCACGCTATATTGTATGTTAATAATCTAAGCCGACTATTGCTTATATAATTGAGACGCATAATAACATTACCACCTTGAATAGTAAGCCATCAACTTGCAATAAGAAGAGACATGACGTCATATTACTGTATGTTTAAAAGGTTAAAAATGTTATGTTTAAAAGGTATGCTTAAATATTACTGTATGTTTTTCAAAGATTTTTGGAAAAATAAATTATATTCGTCTATCAACGTAGAATGTAGAATAAGTAGCATACAGTCCCAGGGCTTTGACAAAAACCAGTATCTAAGACGGTTTTACAGAGGGTACTCCTCCATCTCCTCATAATGAGATATATTTATGATAACCGTGTAGCATTTTAAAAGAAAATTTATATTTAAAATTAGGTTAAAGTAGAATTGGCATACCTACAACCAAACTTATATGGAATCACTCTTTATTTCTGACTAAATTTCTTACAAGGAAAAACATTGGTATACAACTTTAAGATAAGGCTTTTTTGTTGTAAATATACATGATAATAAAGAACAAACGACTGCTGCGATTTATTTTCTTTTGAATTTTGTGTTCAGTAGTAAAATCACGATTGCCTGGTAATTTTCATTCGATTAAAAAAAAATAAAAAAATGCTTTAAGTTAGATTAACAGATGTACAGGGTGGGTCAAATTCGACGCTTTTAAATGGAAACATCCTTTTGTATAGGAGATAGACGAAAACTAATATCGGTGTCTGGAGCTCAATTTTTATCAAAAACATGATGGTGAAAACCGCACATCAATATTTGTTACCGTTTCGTAGTTATGGGGTGTTTTTCAAAAATGTGCATTTTTAACAAATCGCTATAACTTTTTTCCTATGGAAGATTTTGTATTTCTATAAAGACATTTCCAAAGCATCTTTTTACGTACAATTTAATGGTTTAAGTATAATTTTTTTAAAATTAATAATTTAAGAGGTATCAACAGAAAAATTGATTTTTTATTTGGGACACCCTCTATATTTTTAATTAACTGAAAAGAATTTAAAATTACCTTTCCAAAAATATAGCACACTTGATATTTTGTTATAATCCCCTTCGAAATACAGAATTTTTAAAAGTTCGCCACTTTTAACTAATAGGCTTTGGACCCCTTATTGATATGCCCTTAATGGAACTCGAAAACATATTTTTCCAGCAAGACGACGCACCGCCTCTGAACGCTGAAGTTATCAGCAAATTTTTGCAGCCAATATCAAGAATAATTGAATAGCTAACCAAGATCCCAGCCATCGAGGCCGTCTGACTTAGTGCCCATGGATCTAATCCTATGGATATATTTGCGGAAGAATAAAGGTTCCTTATTCTTCCGTATAATCTAGACAAGAATTAGAAATACTTAGCAGTTATGAGAGGGTATCTTTCACCCCCACTGAGTTAATGAATTCCGCGAGAAATGTTCAAAAATTGCCCCATCTGTCCATAACAGAAGATGGTCGTTATGTCGAACACCTGTAGCAAAACCTCATGTCTTGGTTTGCTATTTATTTTTATAGTTATTAGATATAGTTTAAATGTGTTGATGTTGGTTAAATATATTTTAAATTGTTATAAAATTCTGCATCTCTCATAGCAAATATTATTTTCGTTTTAATTGATGCTCACAGCTAATATTTTTTGGCAATAGAGCCGGTGCCATTCAAAGCCCACTTATTAAAAGCGGGCGAATTTTTATATACTCTATATCTCGAAGAGGAATCGAGCAAAATGTCAAGTGTGTTATATTTTTGGAAAGGTAATTTTAAATTATCTTCAATAAATTAAAAATATACAGAGTGTCCCATATAAAAAATCATATTTTCTGTTGATAATTCTTAAATTATTAATTTAAAAAAAATACACTTAAACCATTAAATTCTACGTAAAAAGGTGCCTTGGAAATGTTTTCATAAAAATACAAAATTTTCCATAGCAAAAAAGTTACAGCGATTTGTTAAAAATGCATATTTTTGAAAAACACCCTGTAACTCCGAGACGGTAACAGATATCGATATGCGGTTTGTTTTCACCATCTTGTTTTTGACAAAAATTGAGCTCAGACACCGATATTAGTTTTTGTCTATCTCCTATAGAAAAGGATGTTTCCATTTAAAAGCGTCGAATTTGACCCACCCTTTACAGAGGGGAAGAATTAGAGCCCTCATTGAACAAAGAATCCCCTAAAGAGACGTAGCAGAGATAGTAGGCATTACCCAGGGTATAGAAAACATATGCAAGGTACTTATTAGGAACACACAAGAACAGGCCCAGACAAAGTCGTCAAAGAATCACAACTGAACAACAAGACAGCACTGTGTGCCAAATTGCTAGAAGAAATTCCAATGTTTCTCATCCACAGCTACGAAGACAACTTCTGGTAGCTACAGGTGTGGACGTTTCAGTTGAAAGCATAAGAAAAAGGCTTCGTGCTCGAGGGTTGTACAGCAGGAGAGAGTTACGGATCCCACAGTTACCTCGGCAAAATAAAATTGGCCGGCTAAATTGACGCCTTCAACATCAAAACGGGACAACTGAGAATTGAAAAAAATGTTCTTTTTCGGATGATACCAGAATAGACCTAAGATCAGATGAGCCATCGAAACTCCAGGCTGCCAAATATGTACCCATATACAGGGTGGTCCGAACTGTCTGCCGGAAACTTGGGCAGCATATTTTGCAGATAAAAATAAGTAAAAAAAGTTCGTATAAATTTATGTCCTAAAAGGCTTAGCTTCGGAGATACGGGGTGTAGAAATTTCATTTTTATTTCGTTTTTTTCGAAATAATTTCTGAAGTAACGTCAATATTTTGAAATTGGTGGCTAGGAGTTTTTTGATATGAGAAATTTGAGTTGATGTCAATCTGATTCCTACTTGTAGAGGGCGCCACCTACGTATCTTTTAATTGGTTTGAAGAGTAATAACTTTTTGTCCTTACCTGTATAAAACTACTGAGTAATAAAATATACATTTACGACATTTTTTACGTAAAAAAGGTCTCTTGGTGAAAAGAAATTATAAATTTGGGAAGTTTTTATTTTTTTAATCATAATTTTTTCTTGATGAAAAATGACAAAAAAACAGTTTCTGTTAGACTTTTGGCACAAAAACATTTCAAATTTATGATTTCAGTCTAATAGCTATTTAGTCAATATGTTTAATCTATGTCAATGATGAGAGGTATTGATAATTTAGATTCGAAATATCTCGGAAACCATTACTCATAGCGATTTTTACCAAGAGACATTTTTTACGTAAAAAACGTCGTTAATGTATATTTTTTATTCAGTAGTTTTATATAGGTGCGAACAAAAAATGATTACACTTCAAACTAGTTAAAAAATATGTAGGTGGCGCCCTCTAAAAGTAGGAGCCATACTGATATCAAAATGAAATTTCTCATGTAAAAAAACTACCAGACACCAGTTTTTATCCGAAAAAATATTGACGTTTTTAACGAAAGTTTCCGGAATACAGTTCGGACCACCCTGTATAAAGGAGGAACTCAAATGAATGTTGTGGGGACAAATAATATCTCCACTGTTACTACTTCAACAAACTTTAATGGATCAGATGTAGGTATGTTGATTCAGTGCTAGAACCAATCGTTAGTCTTTGGAGAGCTGCAATTGAGGATAATTATAACTTCATGTGCGATAGTGCACCTCCTCATACCAGCAGAGTGACTAGAGAATGTCTTAAAACGGAAAATGTCATAGTTTTGGACTGGCCTGCATGTTCACCAGA